CAGAAATACATAGGTATCCCTACAAAGAAAGGGCAGGCAAATTAGCATAGTACCTGATGTTCTTAGGTATCAAGGCCAGTAAGGCTATCCTGGGAGGGCTTCACAAAACTGAATTTGGAACATGATCTGAAGGAAAGGAAGGGGATGGCCAGGTAGAGAAGAATTGAAAGGACATTTCATGAAAGTAATGTCTTGAGAAATGTCTCTGGCTGTCATGGAGATGTTAAGTAGGTTTAAATACCTGAGCTGGCTCTTGAAGGAGAATAAAGATAGCAGTTCACATTTCTATAGCTAGTTACCCGGTATAGTGCACTTTCCTCACAATGGCCCTCTACAGTTAGATAGCACAGGTATTTTCATGCTCATTTTACAGATGAGGAAAGAGAAATGTACAGAAACTTGTTCAATGTCACCTAGTTAGTGACAGAGCCAAGAATTAAACTCAGATTTTATGACTCCAAGACTCAGTGTTCTTTTCAGTATCCTATGCTGCCTGCCATCTAAGAAACAGAATTTTGATGGGAAGAACCACGAGGATGTCTGCATTTCAGGCAGAGGGAATGATGCGATCGGGAGGCAAAGGTGTCAGGCAAAGAGAAGTTATCTGCTGTGCTTGTGCAAGTGAGTGGTGTGACCTGGCCTGGCCTGGCTAGAGCACTGGCTTTCTACAGGCAAGCGGGGAGAGACGGTTTGGTTGGCTGAATCATTCCCTCAACACACAGTTACACAACACACATTGTGCTAGGTGCTATGGGGAATACAAAACCCAAATTAAATACCTTCTGTCTTCACAAAGTTTATTCTGTAGCAGATGTGATAAAGATACATATACACATACACAAAAAATATGAATTAAAATGTGGTAAGGACATAAAAGGAGTCTAAAGAGATATGAGATCAAAAGAGAGAGAGACAGAGAGAGAGAGAGAGCAAGCGCTTACTTCAAGCTAGAAGGATCACAGAATATTTCATTAAGGCAGCATTTGAGCTGAGATTTGAAAGTTAAGTATGATATCAACAGATGGAGCTGGAGAGACTGACACTGTAGGCACAGGAAGTAACCAGAGTCAACAAAATTGCCAAAGCAAATCCCAGGCAGACACAGGGATTCTATTTGGTAAGTAAAGAAGACTCACTAAGGCTTTTGTAGAGAAAGTAACTCGATCGTTACACTTTAGGAAGATTGCCTCCACACCTAGAATGTGCTTCCTTCTTAATTCTGCCTCTCAGAACCCTTACTTTCCTTAAAGATTCATCTCAGGGGCCATTTCCATATAAAGCCCTTCCTGATTCTCCTGGTGGTTAGTGGTTTTTCCTTCATTCAATTGCATTTGCTTATCTGTACACATGCTGTATCTTCCCCAGTAGAATACAAGTTTCTGGAGGATGAGACATTTAATTTTTGTGTCTGCATCCTCAGCACCTACCATAGAGCCTCTAACACTGTAGGCACTAAAAAAAAAATGTTTTATTGAATTTAACTTAAGGAGATTGGAGGGAAGGCAGCCAATTAGGAGGCTATTATGGTAATACAGGAATAGAATAACAAGGGCCTAACTCCTTCCACTAAGACACACTGTGTTCTCTCTATAACTTAGTGGGCATCTTCAAGAGTTGCCCAAGGTTCACAGAAGTTTCATGGCTTGTCCATAGTCACACAGCCAGGGTTAGATGTGTACTCTGACTCCAGGAGCATTTCATCCTCTACACCACACTGACAAACTGTAAATGGCACTATATTTTTCTGCATACATTTTTCTTCCTCTGACAGGCTGTAAGGTTCTTGGGGGAAAGGACTCTTATCTTATTTACCTTTTGATTTCTTCCAGTGCCTAATGCAGTTTTAATTCAACAAGGTTAGGATCACAAATTCAGAGCTAGAAAGTAACTTAGAAGCCATTTTGCAAAGAGGTAAATGAGGCCCAGAGAAGGTAAGCAACTCACCTGGGGTCACCCACGTAGTAAATAATAGTCTGGAAGTAAACCTAGGTCTTCTGATTGTAAATCCAGTGCTCTTATGACTAGACCTCACTGCCTCTCTAACAAGTGTGAAAAAAAATAAAAGATAAAAGGTTTTGAGCTTCAGTACTGACAGAATAGAGAAGAGGAAAGTCAGGAAAAAGATCAAGGTGGAGAGGGGTTCTTGGAGAGGGAAAAATGACAAGGATGATTTTAGACACATTTGTTAGGTATGAAGTAATATTAGGACAACCAGATGAAAAGGTTCAGCAGACAGATGAAAATGAGGGATGAGAACTAGAGAAAGTGATCAGGGCTTTATCTGTAACATCTTAGGTGTCAGCTTCTTTTCCATTCCCACTGTCCCTGTCTAAGACAGGCCTTTGTTATTTCACGCCGAGTCATTTCAAGTGGTATCCTCCACACCATCAGGCACATCAGTCATCAGACTGATCTTCCCAAAGTTCTGTTTTGGTCATGTCAACCTAATGCTCAGAAAAGTTTTCACTGTCCAGTCCAAATTCCTCTGGCACTCAACTTACCTTTCCAATTTTATACCTGTGCTACTCTCCGATATTCTAGCTAAACCAACATATTCATTATTCCCCAAACTAGCCTTCTACTTTCTTGCCTCCACACCTTTGTTCAAGCCATTTAAGTCCCCTTAGAATGCTTACTTTTACACCACCTTTTTATTCTCCATCTTTTGAAATCCTACTCTCCTTCAGGGCCCAGTTCAACTCTTTCTCTGATTACCTTTGCTGAAAGAGATCTTTCTCCCCTGAATTCCTATAGCAATATTTTATACCATTGATATAGCACTTATCACACACGGTTTTGTATGAGTCATCTGCATACTGTTATCTCCAACTAGATCATAAGCTTCTTGAAGGCAAGAACTGTGTAGTCTTAACTGGAATTACCCCAGCTCCTAACAAAGTTCCTTGTACATACCAGGAGATCAATAAGTATTTCTCAAATGAAAGCAAGATTTGGAAATGCCAGCTGAAATTATGGAGACAGAGTAGGTTTCTGAGGAAATCAGAAGAGAGGAGAAATGATGAAAGAACAGAAACTTGATAAATGCCTTAGAGGCAGAAATGGGTTTAAGTTAGAGGACTCAGGTACAAATCTTGGCTCTGTTACGTCTCTGGGTCTTGGGGGGTGTGTTTGCGTGTGTGTGTGCACGTGGATATTTAGATTAACTCTCCAATGTTCCTTATAGCTCTTAATTTATGATTATACAATCCATGTTTAGACAACAGAAAGAAGAAGGAGACAGAAAAAGAGAAGTCAGCATAGAGGAATATTAAGAAATCTGAGAAGAAAGGAAGTGATCAAATTGTCATATGTCAGGGAGATGTCAAAGTGTTTCTATCTTATCTCCTCAAGGAGAATGTAAGATTCTTTTAGGACCTGGATCTCTTCTGGATTCCCCCACAAACATACAAAAGAGCTTAGTGAATAGTTGGTTATTTAATAAATATGTGTTAATTTGTTCTAAAAAAAGTCACTGGCTAAGGAGTCAATTGAAGCCAGAGCTTTAATTTGAGGTGAGAGGCAATCACATTTGGCAGTCTTTCAAGGAAAGCGATATTAATGAAATGATATTGGAAATAAAGAGGTAGGAAAGAATGCTGTTGCCATAATGGTTGCCTAAGGTGATCAGGACATGAATGAGCTCTGCAGCTATGGAAGGGAAACCAAAGGGAAGAGAGGAAAGATCCTAACAGTAATGTTATACAGGAAAAAAGTATCTTGGTAGTGACCTAGATGTGAAAGATAAAAGAAATTAAGGGCTAATTGAAAGGAAGTTATAAGACTGGGGGCCAGGAAAGATACAGGAATTGCTGGTGGTAACAGACAAATAGAGCAGGGAATCTGGAGTCTTACTGTCAGGTGTATGAATGTACATATACCCTGCACCCTCCAGCAGTGGTTTTTAATCACTCCCCTGATTCACCAGACTTGGCTGCAAATAGCTTTTGGGTGTTTAAAAAACATCTACCCTTCGAGGACAAAATGCATGCCACTAGCATACTGAGAGGCACATGCTTCAGGATTCATAAGGAATACCCAAAGAGAAGTTTATGAAATGTTTTCAGCAGTGACATCTGTTTTAAGCAGTGACACTATGACATAAGCATGCTCTGTTGCAAGGAAATGACTTTGTCAGGGACAATACCCATTTGTCTGCTGAAGCACCGATATGTTTAATACAAATAATTCTATTACCTAAAAGTCATAGCTCACAAGAATAACATGGATTCACCAATTAAATAATAATTTAATTAGCTATATTTAGGATGTGTCAACAATGCAAAGAAATATATTAGGTACTGTGCTGATGAAGGAGAGGTTACAGTGAAATGACAGACTCAATCCTTTAGCTACAAAAAAGAGGAATGAAAATAAATAACAAGAGCTCCCATTTACACAGTGTTTTAAGGTCTATAAAGTGCTTTACATACATGATTCCATTTGATCCTCATAACAATCCTGCCAAGGAGATGCTCAATAAAGCTAACTATATCTCTATACTCCTCTAAAATTCCTTGGGTCCCTCTGTGCAGTAAAGAGGATATTCTGGTGCTAGAAATCTGTGCTATGAGGGCACAAACTCTAGCAGGTTCTACACTAAGCTGAAAAGGTGTTCAAGCATGGACCAGCAATGGGCTATATGCCTGTTTTTCAAAGACAACCCTAAACTGCTTTTGGGTATATGCACTACTGGTTTTACTGGGAACTCTGCAAAGAGGGGAAGGGAAAATGAGCAAGATCTAGCCCATCTTAGTATTATAAAAGTTCATTCACTTGAGAACAAATTTTCCCTCTTATCCCTTATAAAGGGAAACAGAATTTTTTTCCCTTTAAAATTATTTTTTATCCTGGCTAACTCTTAAATCCTTTAAGCAAGATTATACAAGAAAAATGCAAAGCCTTGTCTCATAAATACTATGAAGATAATTGTTTTACTTGTACTAAAAACAAGCAATTCACTCAGGTTTCCAGTAATTAGCTATAAATAAAATTTTTCCCACCTGGGAGAAGTGTTTCCCACAAATGTTACATTCAAAAGGTTTCTCACCTAAAACAAAAACAGAACATGTAAAACTGTTAGTAGTGACTGTGTAATTAGTGATGTCTTTGAAGAAGTAGCTCTTGTAAAAAGTAACACTACGATCCTGAACCTATCTCTGATGGGAAAACATAATAAAAATTTTTGTAATTGGTTGTTTCCCTCTAAAATAAATATATCTAGTCCGAAATATGTCTAATTATCATAGCCAAACAACTCATGCATTAAATTGAAAGCCCCATTAACACAAAGCACAAAGCTATTCTGCCTGGGACCCCTATTCTGAGCCCAAAAGCGGAGGTGCTCCTACCACCATGCTATCCTTGCAGTCTCTTCACCTCTTCTTGCATGAGCGCTTCCACTTCTACCATTTGTTTCTAACAAAACACTTGACTTTTCTCGAGGCCTTGAAGGCTTACAAAGCATTTTAGATACAGATCTACAGATACAGTTGGATTGTTACCATTCCTGGAGGATCCCATAAATATTCTCCTTATTTTACAGATGAGGAAACAAGCTCAGAGCAGTGACTTGCCCATGGTGTAACCCAATGGGTGAAATAGGCATTTAAGTCTAGGGCTGCTGAACCTCTGCCATTTTCTATGCATATGACAGAAGGGGGCATGGAAGGAAAAGAGAATGGACCAGCCAGAGACTGGGGTAAGGGGGAAAAATTGTGGCTTCCTTGACCTCAGTCTGAATTAACAGATTATTTTTAGTTTTCATTATTAGCTGTGGCCTTTTGCTGGTACAAAGTACTGATTTTAAATCATGCTGTGTGGATAGCTGTGGGGGACAAACAACATCCTATTTCTCTCATTGCCCTCATATTAAGTTATAGCTCATCAAAATATATTGCCAGAGAAAAGATGGTACATTTCCTATAATGTGCCCTCATCTTTAGAATTAAATTTTTTTCTTCCTGCTCTGGTAAAATTGTAGTTTATTGGTCTAGTAAAACTACAGTTTACTGACCTAGGTTTATGATGGAAATAATATGTTTTTATTTGTAGCTCTTCCTGAAAGTATAGGTTAGCTTTGTAGATGACAGAAAATCCTTGATCTTTGGCTATTTTCTATTCATTTTTAACTCTAAATTTAATTCTACAGACATGGCTGGGATAATGTGATAATAGGTTCAAGGATAAATTAAAACTCTATTACCAGAAATATAGTATGAAAATTGGGGTCACATATGGCCCAGGCTCATAAATGATCAAGGTCAATGACCATTCTTAATAGAGTACCACATATATCAAAAGATTTATTTCCTTTTTGACAAGACTCTTTGCATTAATTTTGATCACACTGCTATTGCCATTCAAGAGATATGCCTTCAAAATACAAAATAGAATTTTTTGCTGCTTCTGCAACTACAAAGATAAGGTTTTCAAGATCGTGTGTGTGTGCATGCGCGTGAGCGCACATGTGAGAGAGAGACAGGTAATTAGGCCTTTGAATTTTTTTTTAATAATTTAGAGGTACAAAAGCAAAAGTTTTTAGGACAGAACCTAGGGTTAAAGACAACTTTGCTTTTCTTTATTTTTAGGATAGAGTAATTTCAACCTAGTAAACAACAAAAGAACTAAATCAAGACCTGAGAATTCTAGGGGATAACAGGAAGAGAAATATCATATCAAGTGATGTTTCTTGTATTGACCATAATCATATACTTATTTCCATAATCATTGTCATGAAAACATCCTAAACACTTAACACCTCAGAAGCCCATAATATGCTCGTCATATCTTTTTGAAATGTTTATCCTAGGGGCAGCTAGATGGCGCAGTGGATAGATCACTGGCCCTGGAGTCAGGAGGACCTGAGTTCAAATACGGCCTCACTCACATAAACACTCACTAGCTGTGTGACTCTGGGCAAGTCACTTAACCCCAATTGCCTCACTAAAAAAAAACAAAAAGAAATGTTTATCCTAAAGTAATCAACTTTAGCTATAGGAAGGCAAGGTACAATTTATACAACTATTTCATAACACTTTGTTTTTTAAAAGATCAGACCATTTTGAAAAATAGAAGTGGGAAATTATATCAGTTGGCCAGTTTCAATCTGTATATATTAGCTTATAATAATTTTCATTTTTAAATTAAAATTTAAAAACTGGTCCATCTAACCAAGAGTTACCAAGATATCTGAAATGATCAGATTTGACCATGAAGAAATCAAAAGATTTTACTTTTTTCATGAGTTAATTGTAAATTAAACAATTAAAAATAAATATTTCTTTTTAAAACTCAAAAGGTCTAAATATTAACATGGAACAGAAATCAAATACGATAAAAAGATGCCACCTTTTCTGTTCAGGGTATGGAGAACCGTTTGTAGAATTCTAAGATTTAGGAACTGTACCTGCAAGCTAGAAGTGAAAAAAGGAAAAGGTGGCCAAAATGCTCCTCTGAGACGCCTCTCAAATAACCTTTGCAACCATAAGCCTCATCAACAAACAACAGGAAAACCTCTCTTAAAAAATGTGAGCAAGTAACACTAGCTAGCGAGCATTCACCACTGTGTGCTGAAGGCACTGTACCTGTATGTGACCGTCTGTGAAGCTCCAACGTGCTGGGATGTTTGAAAGGCTTTCCACATAGCTCACAAGTGTACTGTCTTTGCAGCTGCAGCGTTTGTGTCTGGTCTTTCAAGACGACAGTGCCCTCAGTCCTTGCAATTTCAGCAACACAATCAAAATGCTCTGAACTGATGATTTCTTCACTTTCTTTTTCTTCAGTACCTTGACTAATAGCTTTCTCTACGGTGCTTTCACTAACTAAAGGTGACTCTGCTATTCCTTTTGCTAAACTATGATCTGCTTTAGCTTCAGATGATTCTTCTGCAGACTGTTGTGATTTTAGGAAGCTTAGTTTCTTGAGGTGGATAGCTTTTTTCAATCTCCTCTGTTCAGCAGGCAGCAATGATGTGCCATCGGACTCCAGATCTGGGGCGGCTTCATTCAAAGGCTGGGCAAGGAAGTTAGAAGGGAGGTGTTCAGAAGACTCCAAGATACATTCAGAGGGACTGACAGTACAGTCATGGTTTTCTACTGGGTTAAGATCTGTAGATGCACTGAAAGCAAAGGGCTGCTCAATGACTCGTTCGTGACTGGAACAAGAAGTTTGTTTATAGAACTGTTTACTGTAAAAGTTTCTAAGTTTGTAATAGTAATGTGACTGCTTAAATGGAAGTTCTGTACAGGTGCCACCTATAGCATCAGATGTCTGTTTTGGTCCTTCACCCGAAGAATTCTGAAGATGAACTGATTGTGGTCCGTGGGAAGGCTGGCCATCCAAAACCTTATGAGGCTGTGTACCTGCTGAACACTCTTGTAGTAGGTGAGGAGGGTAGTTTTCACTCATAATACCATTAGAATCAGCAGCCAGAGCACTGTGCAGGGAGAACGCACTGTTACAAGGCAAGCCGGGTGACTGCTCGATAGCAGTAGATTTCAAAAATGCGTGACACATGTTCAATACATTTTGTACTTGTAAACACTGTGCTATGTCCAACATCGTCTGTATGTTATCTTGGTTAAGATCCAGGTGAGAAGTGTACATGAAGTCCAGTATCTGCCCTATGCCTCCTACATTTTTTATATTCAAATGAAAAACATCATTCTTCTGGCCCGAAGAATTCTGAAATAAAGTCCTGATGAAAGAAAATATATCTGTTTACAGTGTAAAAGAACACATCTACACTAACAATCTTTGCTTACAAATAATATCCAAATAAGCCCATGTTAATAATTATCATCCTACAAACACCAGGGTTGAAAACTTACTAGTTTTTAAAAATCTCATCTTTCTAACAATTCAGGCAAATTAACATAACTATCAAAAAGGAGGGAGAAGGTATCACTGTGAAGGACACATTTTAAATTTGCAACTAGTTTTTAAAAATCAAACTATAATGTGAATCACCGACAAAAAGCACGAGATGATGGTTAAAGCCAGTCCTGGAGTCAGGAAAACCTGGGTTCAAGTCGTGCCCCAACACATCTGGGCTAGGTGACTTTAATCCCTTAACCTTAGTGCCCCAGGCAATTCTCTAAGATTATAGTTTACAGAAGATCCTTAATCCTCACTGTAGAGGAAATCTGCCTCATTAGAATAGCTCCCTAGGCAGATGATATAGGTTTGGACAAAAAAAATATAGATGACATTATCAATAAGTACAGAAAGGTTTGAAGATAATTTCTAAGGAAAACAAAATCTACTTAGTATCTACATATATAAAACTGTCTCATGTAGCATAAATTTTAATGACAGTACACAATATCAAAAAATATATTTTTTTCCTATTTAGTAATCACATGAACTTTCAAATTACCATCAATTATTTCAATGTACAAAATACAGATACACATATTTCTATTTAGAACATCCTACTGGAATGCCTTAAAGAATATATTTTCTTTAGGATATATGAGAAACAAAGACTAAAATGTTTTAATTATGTTTTTTAAGTACACAACAAAATTTCCACTGGTCTGTTATTGAAGTGACAGTTTATCAAAAAAGCACCAGTGACAGGTGTTCAATTATTAATCTATTTATTTCCAAAGAATATGAATTGTTTTTCGATCACTAGAATTGTTCATTAGAATAGAAAACTTTATAAAGCATTTCACAATTATTTTTATTAATAACTGAATACTACTTTTATGACACCATCTTAACTATTGAAAAACATTTTAGGTAAGAAGCTCACAACATTCTTTCGGACAGATTTGTATAATTTAAAAAGGAACAAAGTTGAATGTAATTTAAGTAGATAATGTTATTAAAGTGAGAACTCACACCTAGGTATTTTGGTTTTAAAACTGGTTCTTGCATATGATCACATATGAATTAAGCCCAAAACACATACCTAAAATACTGACTGAAAGAAGCTAACACATTTTTATGTGCCTTAAAGCAGACTCCTTTCACCACCAGCATACAGTCACAAAGAAGGCCTTGAATACGCTGCTCATGAAGCTGCTGAAGAAGGTGGCAGCTGTGACTAGCAACAGGGTCCATGCTAAATCATTCAAAATACCTAAAATAAAAATTAGAGTAAAAATATGATTAATTCACAGGAAAAAAAATTCACATGAAAGCTCCAAGAAAGAAACTCTTGAAAGGCATTAAACTCGATGCTTATTTATTGGAACAATCTCCCTTCACAACAGAAGATCAAATGTTTCTGTCACAGGAAGTTGCAATAAGAGCATGTTACCATCATTTCAATTCTTATATTTAGCCCACTTGAATACACAAGAGAAAAATGTTCAAATATTTTAAAAAATCTACTCTGTCCTAAGAAGGTGATTATGGTTAATTTTTTAAAATTGAGTACCTACACATCTGTCCTTGTCCCTGCTCTCAAGGGGTTATAATCTTATTAGGAAGACAAGCTATTTAGTTAAACAGCAAGTGAACATTTAAATAATATGAATGAGAAAAACAGAAAACATCACACAAAGCAGTATGTAACTATCAAGTGAGCTAAAAAGACAACAGTACTTTATGAGTTAGGAGATGAAAGATCACTTCAGGTTGGGGTACTCAAGTAAATAATTTTTTAAAGTATTGCATTGAACTGGGTTTTCTCTATATTTTAATTTTTAAAATTTTTTAAAATTAATTTATTTTGATTTATCAACAATCACTTCCACAAGCTTTTGAGTTTTAAATTTTTCCCTCTCTCCCTCCCCAAGACGGTGCGCAATCTGATATAGGCTATACATATACATTCCTATTAAACACATTTTCACATTAGTCATGTTTTAAGGAATAATTAGAACCAATAGGAGGAACCACCAGAAAAAGGAAACAAAACAGAAGAAAAAAAATAGCAAATAGTATGCATTCAGACTCCATAGTTCTTTCTTTGGATGTGGGTAGCATTTTCCATTGTGAGACCTTTGGAGATGTCTTAGATCCTTGCATTTCTGAGAAGTGCTAAGTCTACCAACGTTAGTCATCGCTCAAAGTGGCTATTACTGTGTACAACGTTCTCCTGGTTCTGCTCTCTTCCCTCAGCATCAGGCCATACAAGTCTTTCCAGGTTTTTCTGAAGTCCTCCTGCTCATCATTTCTTATAGCATAATAGTATTACATTACACTCATATACTACAACTTGTTCAGCCATTCCCCAATTGATAGGCATCCTCTCAATTTCCAATTCTTTGCCACCACAAAAAGAGCTGCTATAAATACTTTCGTACATGTGAGTCCTTTTCCCATTTGTATGATCTCTTTGGGATATAGCCCTAGAAGTGCTATTGCTGGGTCAAAGGATATGCATGTTTTTATAGCTCTTTGGGAATAGTTCCAAATTGCTCTCCAAAATGGTTGGATCAGTTCACAACGCCACCAACAATGCATTAGTGTTCCAATTTTCCCACATCTTCTCCAATATTTATTATCATTTTCCTGTTTTGTCATGTTGGTCAATCTGATAGGTGTGATGTGGTATCTCAGAGCTGTTTTGATTTGCATTTCTCTAATCAATAGTGATTTAGAGCATTTTTTTCATATGACTATAGATGGCTTTAATTTCTTTCATCTGAGAACTTGACAACAGCTTTCTAAGTGGTCTCCCTGCTTCTAGAGTCTCTATTCTTCAACTTGCCTCCAGTTGCTATAATAATCTTCCAAAGGCACAAGTCTGACCATGTTGTTGTAGCCCTGCTCAAAAACCTTCAGTCAATCTTCATTGCCTATTGAATAAGATGAAAACCCTTCAGTCTAGTTTAAATGTAGTCTTCCACAATATGGCCCCTGCCTACTTTGAGGTTATTTTAGGCTATTCTTCTTTACGAACTCTGCATTCCAGCCCAAACTAGATTAATAGCTATTCCCTGAACTACTACTCCACTTTCCACCTTCTTCAACTCTTCCAAGTTGTTTTTGATGTCTGAAATGCACACCTTCCTTACCTCTGCCTCTCAGAATCCTTGTCTTCCTTCGAGGCTTCTATGGGTTTCTCTACATGAAGTCTTCCTTAATCCCCTAGTTGTTGATGCTCTCTCTCCCTCTTTAGTTTTCCTTGGAATATACTTATTTGGATGTATCACGTTCCTCTCCTCAGTAGTAAGAACTGCTTCGCTTTTATCATTATATCCCTAGAACTTAACACAGTGCCTTGCACACCACAACTTAATAAATATTTACTAAGTTGGACTGATATCCAAGTGGAAATGTCCTAAAGGTGGTTGGAAATACAGGCCTGGATCTTACATGAGACAGAACAAGAGATATAAATTTGGGAATCAGCATACAGAAGTGACAGTTGAAGTCTTGAAAGCAGATAAAGTGTCTGTAGAAGTTAAAAAAGAAAATAATAGAAATTTCCATGGGAGTAAATGAAAGATGTGAAGAGCATCTCTCCACTGGCTTCTTGCTATCTATTTACAAAATATGCTGTTTTCCCCAATTTCAAAAACACTTCTTTAAACCCTTCCATCACTCAATTATCATCCCAGCTCCCCCTTCACTACAGAACTTTTGAAGTTTTCCATCTCTCCACTAGCTCTTATCTTAAACCCTTGTAATCTGTATTCTGATCTCATACTCTCTCTCAAAGGTCACCTTAGGCCAAATCTAGTAGCTCTTTTTCATGCTTATTCTCTCCAAAGCATATAACACTGTTGATCACTTCTTCCCGCAGGATACTCTTTCCTCCCAAGCTTCAGATTCTCCTCTCCATTAATCCTTTCCCCATCTCCTTGGCTCTCATTTGATCCCTAACCCCTAAGGTATGTATTTCCCAAGGGTCTGATCTTGGCACTCTTCTCTTTCTTCATAATCTCATTTACTCTCATGGATTAATTTACCACTATCACCACCATCTCTGGCCTTGACTTTCTTCGGAGCTCAACTATGCATTTTGAACTGCCTAGAGAACATTTCTACCTGGATAGATCTTCACACCAAAATAAAGATATCCAAAATCAAGTTCATTCTGATCCACCCTCTAAACCTCCTAACTTAAATGTTTTTGTCAGTGGAACCACTAACCAGGAGAAAAAGCGCTTATACAGTGCCTATTATGTGATTTCTACATATATTATTTCATTTGATCCTTGCAACGACCCTGGGAGATAGATGCTATTATTACCCCCATTTTACAGTTCAGGAAACTGAGGCAAACAGGTGAACAGTAACTTGCCTAGACAATGGTGGAGGCTGGTGTTAGTTCTTCCTGACTCAGGCCCAGTGCTCTATCCACTATTTCACCAAGTTTATCTTCCCCTCAAGACACTTAAAGTTTTAAGTTCCTGGCATTTCTATCAGTGACACTAACATTAAACTAGTCTCCCGTGTTGGAAATTCTGGTGTTCTTTTTTTATATACTTCTTCCTTCTCCCTGACCTCTCATATCTAGCCACCAAGACCCATCAACTTCGTCTTCATAACATGTTTTACAACTTGCTTTCCCTTTATTTTCCCCTTTGCTACTGTCCCAGCATAGGTCCTCACTGTTGTGGCTCAGTAGTTTGGGGGTTTTCTTGGCAATGATACTGGAGTGGTTTGCCATTTCCTTCTCCAGCTCATGTAACAGATGAGGAAACTGAGGCAAGCAGGGTTAAGTGATTCACCCAGGATCACATAGCTAGTGACTGAGGCCAGATATGAACTTTACAAAGATGAATTTTCCTGACTCCAGGTCCAGGCCTCTATCCACTGTGTCACCTAGCTATCCTAGGCCCTGATTACCAACTCCTTAAACTGTTATATTCTAATAGGTCATCCCACCTCTACCTTTTTCCATCTCCAATCCTTCATATTACTGCTAGAAAAATCTTTCTTATAGAAATGGTCATATAATTTCTCTGCTCAAGATTTTTTTTTTAAATTTGTTTTATTTTTAGGCAATTGGGGTTAAGTGATTTGCCCAGGGTCACACAGCCAGTAAGTGTTAAGTATTTGGTCTGAGGCCGCATTTGAACTCAGGTCCTCCTGACTTCAGGGCCAGTGCTCTATCCATTACGCCACCTAGCTGCCCCCTCTGCTCAAGATTCTTTAATTGATGTTTACTGCTTACCAAGTAGTTTTCAAATTTCTTTTCAGGCATTCAACTAGTACCACCCAACATTTCTAGCCTAACTTCATACTATTTTCCTTCACGTACACTGCATGACAACCGAACTGGACTACTTATTGAGTCCCAAGCATGCCCTATGGTTTCTCAGCTTTATGGTTTTGTTCCTACTGACCTGTATACTTCAAATGCTCTTTCTCCATGCTTTTTCCTTTAAATACTCATCAGCGTGAGCCTTGCCTCCACACAAACCCAACCGTGATTTACCCTATGTGATTGTCTGTTTTCTCCCTAAGAACATCCTTGAAGGACCTACCCAATGTGCTTTTCTTAGGCCTTCCTTAGGTGTTTTAATAGTATAGCACTTGAATTGTCCTCTTGTTATCCCTTTCTCTACAAGACCCCCTAACCATGTATCTTTCTCCATTGCCACTTGGGTTACCTATAACTGTGTGTTTTTTTGTTTTGTTTTTTTGCTTTTTGGTGAGGCAATTGGGGTTAAGTGACTTGCCCAGGGTCACACAGCTAGTAAGTGTCAAGTGTCTGAGGCTGCCTTTGAACTCAGGTCCTCCTGACTCCAAGGCTGGAGCTCTATCCACTACGCCACCTAGCTGCCCATAACTGTGGTTTTTTTTAGGGATTGTGTTGTTATAACAATGTTACCATATAGAATAACTGGGAGAACATTTACGTTAAAGATAGTTTTTATGTCAGAACAGCTTGAATTCCTAAAAAGCACTGTGCAGTTTGCTAAACGGAATCCAGCCTACTCTTTTCCTCTTATTCAACGCTAGGTCAAATTTACATCTGCAGTGCTCATCCCAGACATAAAGACTGCCTTCCAATTGTGTGTCAGTCTAGACAATACACATTTTTCATCCAATCAGTTTACTTATGGATTGCTAAATCCATCTTTAAAAAAATTTTTTTTAAACATTCATCTTTTGAATAATCATAGAACACACTGAGCAAGCACTATAAAACTTCTTTGGCTTGATGAAACCAGAGCA